TACCAACTCCCTAAACCCCTTAAGTGTTCATCGCCTGCATCGTTTTTATACTCTGTCGTGCAGCTAGAAATCAGAATTTTTTTTACTTGGTCCAAAAGATCCATTTAAAAACCTAACATTCATTTACTGGGGCCTGGAGGGACATGACAATCCCACTGAAGGTCATAAAAAATGAGGAGAAATTATGTCAATATAAATCAAGTCTGTTCACACAGTTTGTAAATTGGTTGGTCTACTTTCTCATATTATCATTTCTCTCTGTTTTCTAGCATACCTGACCTGAAAAGATGGTACTTTTCTCTCGTACTCTCAAGCGAATTATTAAAGTGACATTTTACTAAATTTTGAATCTCGAGTAGATGCCCGATTACTGTCCAAATGAACACAATGATGGTATACAGTTGAAAACAGAAGTCTACATGCACTATATAAAAAGGCACATAACCTTTTTTCTTCTCACCGTCTAACATTAAATCAGATTAAACTTTTCCTGTTTTTGGTCAATTAGGATTACCAAAATTATTTGCTAAATGCCAGAATAATGAGAGAGAGAATTTTTTAGACAATTTTTTTATTACTTTCTCTAGAGTCAAAAGTTTACATACACTAAGATGACTATGCCTTTAAATAATTTGGGAAAGTCCAGATGATGATATAATGTCTTTGGAAGCTTGCAAGCCTAAGAACACCATCCCAACTGTGAATTATGGGGGTGGCAGCATCATGTTGTGGGGCTGTTTTGCTCAAGGAGTGACTGGTATACTTCACAAAATAGATGGCATCATAAGGAAAGAACATTATGTGGAAATACTTGAGCAACATCTCAGGACATCAGCCAGGAAGTTAAAGCTTAGACACAAATGGGTTTTCCAAATGGATAGTGATCCTAAGCATACTGCCAAACTGGTTACAAAGTGGCGTAAGGATAACAAAGTCAATGTTTTGAAGTGGCCATCACAAAGCCCTCCTATTGAAAATTTATGAGCAGAACTGAAAAGTCATGTGCAAGCAAGGTGGCCTTCAAACTTGACTCAGTTACACCAGTTCTGTCAGGAGAAATGGGCAAAAATTCCTGAAAACTAATGTGAGAAGCTTGTTGAAGCATATCCAAAGCATATGACCAAAGTCATACAGTTAAAAGGCAGCTACCAAATACTATTGAAATGTATGTAAACTTTTGACTCTAGAGAAAATAATAAAAAATTGTCTAAAAAAATCTCTAAAAGGACTTAAAAATCTCTGTAAGTCTTCACAAGGTTTTCACACACTGATGCTGGTATTTTGGCCCGTTCCTCCATGCAGATCTCTTCTAGAGCTGTGATGTTTTGGAGCTTGGCTAGGCCACTCCAGGACCTTGACATGCTTCTTACGAAGCCACTCCTTTATTGGCCAGGCAGTGTGTTTGGGATCATTGTCATGCTGAAAGACCCAGCCACGTCTCATCTTCAAGGCCCTCGCTGATGGAAGCAGGTTTTCACTCAAAATCTCACGATACATGGCCCCATTCATTCTTTCCTTTATACGGATCAGCCGTCCTAGTCCCTTTGCAGAAAAACAGCCCCAAAGCATGATGTCCCCACCCCCATGCTTCACAGTAGGTATGGTGTTCTTGGAATGCAACTCGGCATTCTTTCTCCTCCAAACACGACGAGTTGAGTTTTGAACAAAAAGTTTTATTTTGGAATCATCTGACCATATGACATTCTCTCAATCCTCCTCTGGATCATCCAAATGCTCTCGAGCAAACTTTAGACAGGCCTGAACATGTACTGGCTTGAGCAGGGGAACACGTCTGGCAGTGAAGGATTTGAGTCCCTGGCGGCGTAGTGTGTTACTGATGGCGGCCTTTGTTACTTTGGTCCCAGCTCTCTGCAGGTCATTCACTAGGTCCCCCCGTGTGGCTCTGGGATTTTTGCTCACCGTTCTTGTGATCATTTTGACCCCACGGGGTGAGATCCTGCATGGAGCCCCAGATCGAGGGAGATTATCAGTGGTCTTGTAGATCTTCCATTTTCTAATAATTGCTCCCATAGTTGATTTCTTCACACCAAGCTGCTTACCTATTGCAGATTCAGTCTTTCCAGCCTGGAGCAGGTCTACAATTTTGTTTCTGGTGTCCTTCGACAGCTCTTTGGTCTTGGCCATAGTGGAGTTTGGAGTCTGACTATTTGAGGTTGTGACACGTGTCTTTTATACTGATAATGAGTTCAAACAGGTGCCATTGATACAGGTAACAAGTGGAGGAGGGAGGAGCCTCTTAAAGAAGAAGTTACAGGTCTGTGAGAGCCAGAAATCTTGCTTGTTTGTAGGTGACCAAATACTTATTTTACTGAAGAATTTACCAATAAATTCATTAAAAATCCTACAATGTGATTTCCTGGATTCTTTCCCCCCATTCGGTCTCTCATAGTTGAAGTGTACCTTTGATGAAAATTACAGGCCTCTCTCATCTTTTTAAGTGGGAGAACTTGTACAATTGGTGGCTGACTAAATACTTTTTTGCCCCACTTTTTTATAAAAAAAAACTGTGTATAACAAGTTCAAAACCAAGCGCTAAGAGAGTACTTATGGACAAGAAAGGCTCAAATGAGTTTCCCAGTTAGCAGCACAACAACAGGAATTCCAAGGATGGTGGAAAGAGAGAGAGTATATGAGGATAATAAAAAATAAGACAACAAATTGAAACTAAAAAGAACTGTAAATATAGATTTTGCACAAGAAAGCAACAATGCACAGCTTCTTAATTCCCACAGGTTATTATTTTAGTTTGTGCTCACAGTATATAGTAATATTTTATGAGATTATTCTAGTGAGCGCAATCTGGTTACCATGCACACATGTTGCAGTGCTGTCAATTTAACTCATTATTTGCCAAATTATTTGTTTTAGTTTTTTTCTTACTGTATGAATTCTGTTGATAATAGTTTCTTGTGAGCATCACACTCAGGTCACAATGTTGTGCTTCACTAGCCAAATCATAACTTTATCAATAATTAGCAGCATATCCTACAGTGAATTTAATCATTGTTTTCTGTGTTCAAGCATTTACTTATGTTCAAGATAGCTCTGCAATAAAAGTAGTGAAAACTTATAAGAAATCTAAGTGTAAATTCAGAAATATCTCGTAGTTGCATTTTTTTACAAGTTGCAAAAAGTTTTTGAATGCATTAACTGCTAAAGCAATGAGATCCAAGCTGAGTTCACAATGATGTGAGTTTTCTTTAAATCTGTAAAGAAACTTTCCTTCATTATTTTTATTGCATTGTATCTTATTCTTTTTTTATTGCTTTTATTGCTTTAACTGTTTTCATTGCTTTTTATTGTTTTCATTTATTCATTTTTATTTTTATTTTCTATGTATCGTAGAGCACTTTTGTTCATCGAAAGGGTTTGTTGTAAAGGGCTGTATAAATAAAGAACATTTACAGTCATATGGTAAGGTCTTTAGTGGCCGATACAAACTGTCTTGCTTGTCTTGCAAAATTAAAATATAACCCAAGTGTTAATCAGGTTTCTGAATATGTTTTGTTCACCACAGAGCTGTCAACAAAGACTGCTAATGTAAGCAACCCTGCAGAAGAACTATATGTCTGTTTTGAAGTTCTGTTTTAAGTTCTGCACCAAGCATTAAAAAAATCAAGGTTGTTATGTAAGAATTTCAATAAACCGTAGTTTCCTATTTGCTGATGCAATCCCACAAAAACATTACACTCCATGTGCTGCATTTTGATACAAAATAAACTTCATATTTGATATGTGAGCTTTTTCGCCTTACTATATTCTCATCCCTCAGTGCCTTAAACCTCCTTCCTCTACCCTCTCCGTTCTTCCTCTCTTTATTTCCTTACACTCTCCCCATCCTGCTTCACATTTTGAGCCTTTTCTTCCAAATACATGCACACATTCAGACCCTTACATGAACCTTTTGCTCTCATTCTGCTGTCCTAGTGGGGAACAGGAAATGAGTCAGATCCTGGGGACTAAGAATGAAGCTCCCTGTCCACAGAGATAGAACAGAACAAACATCAGAAGCTGCTGCCAAATCCCTCTGGTCTGCCAACCTCGCTCTCTCTCTCTTTCCCCCATGAAAGTATGAAATATAGAAAGAGACCCCCTATAGAGCGCACAGCTCAGAGCTTAAAGCGACAGGCCTCACCCTGATGGAGACAGTATTCAACATAAAGAGTAATTGTGGTGAACTTTGGTATCTTACTATTTAACTTTTAAGAGTTGGGTGATCCAGCAGAGGGACTTCAAAGTGCTTTTTTCTGTTCTCTTGATGTTTAAAGAAACATCTCAACTCCTTTAAAGTTGCTGCTGCGTGGTTCAGATCTGTCTAATCTCAGTAGAGCTGTCAGTTTTGCTTCATTTCTGGATGATTTGGAAGAAAAAAAACAGCAAGTCATTTTTTTTTGACTGCACACAAGTTTAGATAAGTAATGCTCCAATGTGCGTATGAGACCTGCTTGATGACTTTCCTCCCTCCTCCAAATGTTGTTGTATGTTATTGTAGGTCTGATGCTTCCTTCCTCTAGCAGCTGTTCACAGCGCCGCTTCTCATTGGCTTGGCTCCAGCTGTGGAAGGTGTGGTCTGGATGATCGATAGAGCATCCTTTGTTTAACCGTGTAGTTAAATGTTCCTCAGTAAACAGGAGGAAAGGCGGATCTGTGAGTCTTCTCTTCTTTCAGATCAACTCTGAACTGTAAAGGGTCGATGAATGCTCTTTTAGGGACGATTTTCCCACCTGTGGCTTGCTTGACTATGTGCCTGCTCAACCCAAAAGGAACTAAAAGCCGTGTTTTTGCAAAGCCTGGAAACTTGTTAAAAGCTCGGAAAAGTGTGAGGGGGAACCAAGAGGACTAATTGCGCACGGAAGGATCGAGACATGGTTTGAAGAAGAGACGGAAAACCCGCGAGACGCGAGCATATAGGGCACCATGCGCTCCCCGCCGTGCGCTTAAGCTGCTGTGGAGGATTTACACGCACATTATGAGCCGCCATGGCATGGTGTGACCGAGGGGTTCAGACTGTGCTGGCCATCGTGGGGGCCTTCGCCGCCTTCAGTCTCATGACCATCGCCATCGGCACCGACTACTGGCTTTATTCTCGGGCGTACATCTGCAACGCCACGAATGTTACCGCGGACGAGACCCAGGTACAAACCAAGAAAGTCAAAGGCGACCTGACGCACTCCGGACTGTGGAGGATCTGCTGTATTGAAGGTAAAACTAAGTCTTTTAAGTAAGGAGCCGATATCCTACAAACTTTTCTGTCATAAACGATGTTAGACAGTACAGTGACGAACCAGCTGGTCCCCTTTGGATGTTTGGATTTGACTGTTTTGATAAGAATTGCAGGAGTAGATAATGGAAATGGTTTGAATCTTAAAAATCTCCTTTATGTTCTGTTATAAAAAAAATACAGCTGTTTCATTTTGATGAATGCACCTGTTGGGACTAAGCGTAAACCACAGACACTCAACAGTTTGCTGTGATAACGCAGCAAAAGGATGACAGCAGAACAGGTTGAACCATGTTTATGACCGTTTTCATGGTTAATGGCACGAATGGCTTCAAAAAGGTAACACTGGATTGATATGGTTAGGGGGGGAAATGGAGGGAAAGTGTTGTGTGTTGCGCGCAAAGCTTTGTTGTCCGTGCGCAATTTTCAGCCTTTTTCCCTTAGTAAACGACTAAGTTAGTGACTGCAAACCCAGCGGGCAGATCAAGAAATACAACATTGATAACGGGGTTTCAAAGACGTGACTGTGCCAGCTGTTAAATAAGACTGCACCCTAAAACAAAGTTGAGACTGACTGGCACAAAAAGTCGCATATCAGCCAAAATAAAGACCTTCTCCGGGGATATTTTAATGATTCGTTCAGCCGTTGTGTTGTTGGGTATCCATGATCCTCAGCAGACGCGCCTGAGTGATGGGCTGGGCTTTCAACAGCTTGTTGCTTGTTGCTGTTTGGACACGATTTCGCACAATTGCGCGCGAAGACTAGCCGGAAGAAAACTAAAAATACAATAATTTTAATTGATGAGGAATGATCAGCAAGAACATAACCATAAAACAAATCATCTCAGGGAAGTCACGGTGATGTCTGCTATCAGCCATCAGCCCTGCCTGCTGTGGCGCTGTCCACTGCTGCTGGTGCTGAAAGCTTCACTCTGATAAATGTCCTTTCCCTGATAAAATACAGAACTAAATAAGGGTTGAATTGAGAATCAACTAAAGACCATAAGACATCAGAAAACAGGACTGATCATGAATCACTGGCACCAAGAACTACGCATTTGCTTATTAATGAAGAAAACATAAATAACTATTCATGACTTTTATCAACTTGTCCAAGAGGTGCTGCTGTGGTATGATTTTTCACTGTCTGTCATATCATACTAATGTTGCATAAGCCATTGAAGCTGACTGTGTCCCCTCTCTATATCTCAAACCACTTCACACATTCATTATTGCATTACATGGCGTACTGTGAAATGGCTTTTTAAATTGAATTCAACATGGGTTTACCATTTTGCTGTTAGAGTTGAGTACATTTTGAAAGTTAATGATTTCTATGTAGGCAGCATCTCAAACATGCACAGAGGCTTGACTCTGTTGTGGGTGGGGGTCCAACTGAGGAGGTGGCGCTCACCCAGAGATTTGTCTCATATGCAGATGATTGCAGCGATTTCCAGGGTCACACTCCGTGCACTTTTGCTCTGCACTCTTACTACGTGTTCTAGGATTTCACGTTTAAAAAGGGCATCACTATTTATAGCTTTTCTGTTAAGTTAATCAAAAAGACATGTTCACTCTTTCTCACTACAAACCTCTGAGAGTATCCTCAGCAGGAGTGAGGTGGAGTACTCTCTGTTCTGAAACATCTGTCGACTTTTCTGCCGTCCTCTCTTTTTCCCCTCCTTGCTCACATTGTCGAGTGTAAGAGCTGAAGCTAAAAGTCACACAATATCCTGCTCTCTCTCCACACGCACACACACACACTTTCACCTCTTCCACCCTGTTGCCATAGCAGATTTGTATTAGGGCTGAAGTGTTAATTGTACATTCATTTCACCTTCCAGGTAAGCGATAATCACTTCCCGGAAAAAGAAAGAAAAACATGGAGTACACTTTGTTCTATTAGAGTCAAATTAAGAGAGTCAATAAATAATGTGTACGCCCCAGGTGAACTCAGGCTAACCTTGCAGAAGAAATTACACCTGTCTATGTGAGCCAAACAGACGTCTGTATTGGTGTTGTCTCCTGTAAAACAAGGCAGAGGTTCACTGGAGGTGAGTGTGATGGAAAATGAGCTTTTAGTGGAAATAATGCGAAGTTGTTCAGCAGGCAGTCATGCTGAAATGCAACAACAACTCTCACTTAACAGAGTCAGCCTTAACTGATGAACATGCTGGAGAGGTACTTAAAAAGACAATGTGGATTGAACAGACATTTAAATCCTGCTGATCTGACGTAAGCAAAGCTGAAAAGTTTATCACTTCATCAGTTTTGGTTTTTTTTAGCTTTGTTTTCTTGATGTCTGATCTCTTTCTTGCAGATTTATCAGCTTATTGTATGAGTCTAAGGATCATCCCTATGCATGTGTTGTATGTGTGTGTGTGTGTGTTAGCCCGGTGAATGCATTAGTAAGATGTCAAAGGCATCCTCTGAGAGGCAGAGCTAGGAATGTGATTCTTGGTTGCCGGGGAGGAGGTTGCCATGGTGAAGCTATGCTGAGTAATAAAAGATGGGCTTAGCTCTCTCAGACAGACGGGCTCTGGGGAGATTCCACCCCTACTGAGCTCCTTTGCCGTCTCGCTCCTCTCTCTGTCTTCCTCGCCTGTCATCCCTCTCATCATTAACTCTCTTACCTTTTTTGTATTTACCACATAAAATATTTCCACCTTTAGTTTAATCTTCCAAAGAAAAGTTTTCTTTCAACTCTTTGATTCTCTCTTATATCTTTTGCACCAATTTATTCCAGACCTATTAGGTGTCACCACCGGGAACACAGAAACATCCAATTACACTGAAACACTGATCTTATAAAAATCAAACACACTTGAGCTCCACTAACACACTCAGTATGGATATTACATAGTGACTGTGCCTCAGTATTGATCGAGGGGGCTTGGCACATAAAAAATGCAAAAGAATCTGAGAGTGGAAAACATTTTAGAGAGAGAGATCAAAGCAGAAGAGTGGGTATTGAGACATGATAGTGATCAGACATGTCACAAAAAGAGACTGAGAGTTAAAAGAGAGTAAAAGAGGGAGGTCTGAGGTTGGAGAGATGCTCAAACACGAGCAGAGGGTCTGGCTATGAGAGATATTTCATCACTTTATATTTGTTTATACTTGTCTTCAGTCAGTCTCACACATTAATCCAGCAACAGCAGGCAACAAAAGACAATCAAGTCAGCAGAAATCATGGCACAATAAAACACTCTAAAAGAGCCATTTGCAAACAAATATTTGTTCACATCTGGTGTTTCTCATCAAAAAGAATTACGTGTATTCTTAGGGTCTAACATAAAACTCTGCACGCTATAAAGTGAATCTATCTCTGTGGAGAAGCCGACTTCAGTACTTGGACTTGTTGAGCTGTTTTTAACCCTTTAAGGCAAATAAGTTATTATTAAAATTGCTTCTAATAAGAAACTTGTTTACATCATGTATATATACCTGTCATCATTAGGATATTTGTTGACATTAATCAGACTTAATAAGGGTTAACTGAAGATCAATAAACATATTTATAGCTTGTAACACACTTGTAGGGAATTTTTTTTTTTTTTTTACCAATAACAGAATTTTGGCAGCTTTTAAAATTCAATAAGATGTTCATCAACATTAATATAACTGTATGAGGCTTTGTTATAAATCCAACCAACTTTTATTATTGCCTTATTACAAGCTCCCACTGGAATCTTCTTAATCAAAATCCCACTTATGAACATCATGTAAACGTTGTTTGGCATGAGTAAAACTTTAAAATGGTTAACAATGCCTGAGAAGGATCAATAAATCCTTTATTAAGACTTTAACTTACTGTACATGTTGATTTTTTTTTCCCTCAGAGAATGTCGATCTCTGAAACGAGCATTGTTGATTGTTAGAATGAGATTTATTTATCCAAATAAGACACTTTAGATCCAGTCGCTGCAGAGGAGCATTGTTAGCTGTTAATAAGTGCACAATAAAGGACTTATAACAGTTTACTGTTGTTCATTACTCCTCAATTAACCTTTATAAAGTCTTACTAACGTTACAAAACATCCTATTTTAACAAACTGTCACCTGTGCTTGTTAACATCTCGGTGGTAAAGTATCTTAGTGCTGTAGCTTTAATGCTATTTTAAAGCAATGTCACAAATGCTTTAAGTCAGGCAAGTTAATCATGGATGAAATATGATGATGATGATAGTGAGTTTGAATGTAGCAAGTGTGATGGTGGCTTAAAGGCATAGTTCGGTCTTTCTTAAGTTGGGATTGTATGACATACTTATAACCAAGAGAAGATCCTGATAACTTATACTCACTTTAACTTTAACAAACTGTATCCATAGCACTATTCTTCTTGTAATTGTAGGCTTGATTCAGAAATTTCTCAGGACTTTACATTGCTTTATCGAGCTTGTTTGTTTTTTTTCCACAGTTTTTGGACACAGCACCTAAGTGTTCTTCAAGTTCAGCCCAAGTTTAATCGGCATACACGTAGTCTAAGTAACACAGATTAATTTGATAGGGTTAACATAGCACATATCAACATGTCATTATAAAATAATATTTAAAAAAAGAAAAAAAACTTACAACTGTACTTTGAACACAATCTTCTGTTTGGGTTTTGTGAATTTATGATAACTTCTGAAGATTAAAGCTCCTGTGAGGAGTTGTTTTGTGTTTGTGAAATGGACTGAAATTCATAGTGATTCCTTTTTATGATATACACAAACTAACAAGACCATCAGCAACAATATTGATTTTTTTTTATTGTAATTTATGTAAGCCTGAAACTGATGTGTGGGGGGTGGGTATCAGCTGAGCAGCTGAAGAAACAGTTTCTGTTTTTAGATTTCACCCATAATATAGTCATAATAAAAGCCACATTTGACAGTCAGCAAGATAAGACTTTTGTAAGAAGACACTACCTATGCATCTAAGGGACAAAATACAGACTGCTTGGTCCACAGGAGGTGCCAAAGTTGACCCAAACCAAAGGGTTAGGCTAAGGGTGAATGTTCAGTACTGCAGGTAACTTCAACTGTTTGGGAGTCAGTGGTGTCCTCTTGATTCAGAGGGGTGTGGTTGCACAGTTGTTGCCAAGTCCCACTCATGACAGCAAGTTGTTTCCTCCAGTCATGGACATGGGCTCACAGTTACAAAGTCTGCACCACCAGGTAACGTGGGTTTTCTCCTGCTCTCCACTTAGCATTGAAGTTTCTCCCTTCTTTTCTTCAGTTTAGTTTCTTTCTTCCTCTAAAAACTCTTTCACAGCAGTGTCCACTTGTGTCCATGGCAAACATCATATCTGTTATAGTTATAAAATTTGGTAGTATTTTTGCAGTTGATTGCAATGTGCATAAATGATCTTTTCAAATTTCTTAGTGTAAATCCTCTACATTTTTAGTTTCGAACAGATGACTTGTTTCCTTGAATGCCTCTTCAGATGTGTTACAGGTGTGTTGCGTGGCTCCAGAGCTACTAATAAAGAAGTCACTGGATGATGCAGCAAAATCAGCCATCTGTTTTTTTTTTTAAATTCAAAGTCTAACCTTTCAATATTCATAATGCTGTAATGTTTTATTCTCTTAAAAGAGGAGAGAAGATTTTCACAGTGAAGAAAAAGAGCCCGGGTCTCTGAATAGAAGATGCTCGAGGGGTTTGGATTCACAGCAGTCTGTCCTCAAACACTTTCTGACATGGTTAGGGGTGAAAAACAATACAGCTCTGCACAGCTGTGGTTTAGATATTATTTTCTAAGAGGAGACTCCAATAATTACTGTCGCTTTTCATTTTTGTTGCATATTGACTCAGCAGAGGGTAAACAAGTCATACTTTTTGTCCTTGTTTTAATTAATCCAGGCTCATTATAAAAGACACAATATCTTTGTTTCACTGTTGCCATTTGGTCCCTGCACATGCTGTTTTCTCCATCACTCACACTCCCTCTGCTTTTTTGGCTGCTCTGCAGGTATCAACAAAGGAAGCTGTTTTCAAATCAATCATTTTCCAGAGGATAACAACTACGACACAGACAGCTCTGAATACATCCTACGTAAGTTACTGCATCCTCTTCATCTTCAACCAACACTCAGAGAAAAAAAGAGAGGTTACTAAGTGGTGATGGAGTTAACACCGCACTACGTAATGTGTCATGACATCTCCATCCCTCCCCCATAAAAGCCTGATGTCATGACAGTGATTAGAGCTGGAGAGATGATGAAGTGATGTTGTCCGCTGATGAGTAATGAGCTCGTCCAAAATCACGATCCCAGCCTCTTTAAAAGCATAATGTAGCACAACGTCATTTGATAAAGACAAGTCAGTCTGAGTGGCTACACCCAAAACTGCCCACTTATCACAGTTCCATCGATCTCTCCGTTTTGCACAAGATATCATATAAGCTTCATTCCTCATATCAGATTTGGTTTGTTGTTTGATGTTCTTGGGTCCATAGTAACCGTATACCATCTATTCTGCTGTCTGTATGAATCAATTTCAATTCGCTCATGGAAATTAAATCCTGCGCTCTCTGTTAGTCCCATCGGAGGGTAGTGTCTGCTAATCAGGCCTTAGTATCTGTGGAAGCGTTCATCTGGTAAACCTCGGGCACTTTTTGCTCTCCTTTACTCCTTTTTCCACACACTTACTGCAGACTTACTACAGATGTCAGCGGGTGGGGAATATTTTGCCTTTCAGAGAGAGGCTAAAGATCCTCAGACATGGCATAATTTTGCATTTGAGAAGTGCCATAAATGTTGAGCAGTTTCGCAAAAGATCTTCACACTTCTTAAGAGATCAGGTAGAGAAAGCTGACGTATATGTTAAATGCACTCCCTCCCAGATGCCTTAATGCTACTATCTATGTCTGATGTTAGCTGGGAGTTTTCTTCTCTGCTTTTATCCTGGTATACTTGCATCATGGACTGGCAGGTTATCGCCATCTGTTGATTAGCAGAATACTTTGAAACTAATAAATATGTATAGCACCCCTTCTTCTGAGTGTGAGTCCACAAGAGGAAGACAGAAAGCGAGGGAACCAACCAAAAAGTAAAACCAGCTCCATTCACCTTATTAAATGTGGAAATTTTCCTCTATATATAAGATAATGGCACCTAAATCCTATAGCAAACATAAGATTACATCTTATTCCTGGGTTAAATTATTAATACTTGGCTGACAACACTATTGATTCAGATACACTTCTAACTGTAAAATAGTAATAAGATCTCTGATGTTTTTAGGATTGGATGTTTTAAGCACAGATCCGTCAAGTTACTTTACCTGACCAGTAGAGACAGGAAGATTTATCAGTCATTATCCAATTCATCATAACCGGCAGCACTGGCAAGACAAGGCTGATATTACGGTCATCTTTTCTAAATGAAAACACGTTTTCCTCATCCCCAGTGAAAGCATATGGAATTGAAAACACGCACTGACTCTAGTTTATGATAATTCTGTTACATCATACAGAGTAATGCAGTTCGATATTGTTTCTGACAGAAATATGGGTCATTTTCTGAAGTCTACTACAAACCCTAATGTTTTTGTCTTTATCAATTCATTAAAAGTCCATATAGAATATGCCACTGGCTAAGATAACCAAGTATATTAGATTTTAATGTGCATGAAGTCATAAGTTTATACACCACACTTAAAAGCATGTGTCTTTCTGTTGTGGGGGTGAAGCTGTGGAACAGCCTGCCCCATGATCTTAAACAAAGCAAAACTATAGCACAGTTAAAAAGTAAATTAAAGTAGGGTATGGGATTTTCGTTTTGCCACACTTATTATATTTAATTGGGTATGGTATACATGAGTAGTATTCTAGGTGAATATATAAAGCGTATTTATGAGGATATAGGTATGGATGTATATATGTATATATGAGGTCTCTGTTTTAGTATTAACGCTTAGTTATATATTCATGCTAGACTTTGGAGCTTTGATTATTTTTTGGCAACATCAAAGATTCCAAAGACATATCAAGGGTAAACGAGTAGGAAGGAATGAGAGTAGGTACACATAAGCTAAATAGCTTCAACCTACTCCTTTTCCAATCCCCCCAAAATAGGGAATTGCTTGTCTAAAATTGTACTGTATGTATATTAGATCGAATAAACAATATAATACAATATATGTATTTTTTTTATTATTTCTTTGGCTGAGCAGAAATCGAAAAGTCACTTCTGTGAATATTTTTACAGAGCCAATGATTTTTTCCTTCTACATTTGTTTGATAAATTCATGTTCAGCAATGTTGCTACTTATTTGTAAATACTATTAACTTGACATATTACATCGATTGCAAAAAGAAAAAGAAAAAAAGAAACAGCGTGATCTTAAAGTATATACTGGCCATCAGCCAACCTGCTTTCTCAAAGCTTCAAGATCAGCCATTAAAAAACTGATATCAGTCGACCTCTACTGAACAGGATCATGTTTAAACCTTTTTGTTAAATGGTCCGAGTGTTAATGGAAAGATGCCAGCAAGCTAGTTCAGGCACGCAAACTCAAGCTGTGCCGATTCCTCACTTGAGATGCATATTCTCCACAAAACTTGGTGTACATATCTGCTGCATTTGACATCAAATTTAAGATATGAGATTGTCCGCCTTTCCCTCTGCTTTGTTACTGGCACTGCTGCCCTTCACCTCCCAAGCACCTACCCACAGGCTCCTGCGAGGGAGCTTAAGACATGATCTCATCTTTCTCTGAAATCCAGCCGGTGAGATAAATCTGTTGAGGAGTGGTGAGGTCAGACCTTACATGAAACACAATGCTCTGCTGCAGCATTGAATAGTTCAAACCATTCAAACATCAGTAATCTGTAATAAAATATGGAGGTTAGCACAGGTCAAAAACTTCTCATGGGACCTTGAATCATTCAAACATGTTTGAAGCTGCTCTAGTCACAGTTTTGTGTAAACTAGGTGATAGTAGTTCACAGTTCCCAGTCCAAGACCACCATAATGCACAAAAAATGCCCAAAAATAAAATCAATATTTATGTCTTTAAAGTTATATTAACTGCGCTACACCATAAAAGCACACTGAAAGCCCAAGTAGGCATAAAAAAACTTGGACTGAATGTTACCGAACATTTGACCAAACCAACCAAGAATCATCCAATCTGGCAAAAATGGTGCAAAGTTTGAATGGAATGCCTTGCTGTAATGAGAGTGTGTCTAGTATTGAGAACTGACCCAGAGTCCTCATCAAACTCTTGAGCTACCCCTCAGATCTGTTGATCATTTACGCACCTTTGAAGGTTTTTTACAGCGAAAGAGTCAAATTTGAAGAGAACCACAGAGAGGCCAAAGCTGGGTCAGTGTTGGAGTCAGGAGCAGGCGTCACAGAAACTCTAATGTTAGTATTCGCTTGATGGGAACAAATTGACAGTTGTCAATGGGGGAACTGTCAAGATGTTGAATACATAATAACTCCACCAATTGTCAATTACATGGCTTCTTTTTCTACAACTAATCCTTTGAATAATATCCCACCATTGGCAGTGTTTCTCATCAATGCATCACAATATGCTCAGCTTTTGTTGTGCTGTTTTTGTATCGTACAAACAGGTATAGTTCGTGCTTCAAGCCTCTTCCCCATCCTTAGTACCGTTCTGCTGATGTTGGGTGGACTGTGTGTCGGAGTTGGGCGCATCTACAGCACTAGAAATAACATCCTGCTCAGTGCTGGAATCCTGTTTGTGTTTGCAGGTAGGGACTGACTGATATTGGTACATATACAAAGTGGTCAGATTTGTAGACTACAGTTGATGCTTTGAACTTCTTTTCAGCTAATCTAAACTTGCAGCATTGAACTTCCATGTTTTCTTTGGTTTCCTCTCATGAAACTCTCTGATTCATTCATCTTTATTAATTTCAGGCCTGAGCAACATCATTGGCATCATTGTCTACATCTCGAGCAATGCTGGAGATCCGAGCGACAAGAAGAATGAGGACAAGAAGAACCAGTACAACTACGGCTGGTCTTTCTACTTTGGGGCCCTCTCCTTCATCGTGGCAGAGTCAGTGGGAGTTCTTGCGGTCAACATATATATTGAGAAGAACAAAGAGACACGTTTCAGAGCTCGACGCGACTTTATCAAAACCACCTCATCTTCTTCACCGTATTCTCGTATCCCAAGTTACCGCTACCGACGGAGGCGCTCACGCTCCAGTTCGAGGTCAACAGACCCGTCCAGAGAGCCTTCGCCAGTGGGGTTAAAAATCGGTGGAGGAAGTGGGGGAGGAGGGGGTTTGGGAATGGGTTTGCCGATGGGGGATATATCATTGTACGCCCTCAGTCGGGACCCTCTGAAGGGGGCAAGTGCTGCTGCAGGACCTTACAGTCCTGAGAGGGACTCTGGGTTTTTGCAAGTCCACAACTGCTTCCAAAAAGATCTAAAAGATGGAGTAAACAGGAGGACCACGCCAGTATGAGGTCAGGAGTTCATTGCTGTGTGTAACAATCAGCTTGATGGAACACGTTACGTATTGTAGAGTTGATGAGAAAGGACAATTCCTCCCTCAGGCTGTCTAGGCAGAGGAGATGTTGTAAAGGTCAGGGCTCAAAATGGTTTTCCTTGTGTCCCTCTGTGACAGAACATTGCCAATCTGAGTTTCATTTGGAGGACGATGAAAAAGGAAAACTGCGTTTTACGATCCGACTCAGGATCTTGTTAAAAGCAGATGCAGACATTTTGTAGCAATATTTGAAGAGTATTCTGAGATTTACTGTTGCTTACTTTTTCTCTTGAACTGACGATGGTGGACTTTCTCTGGTATTCTTCAATGTAAACTCTATTAGGATTTTCTTAATAAAAAGAATAAACCACATACAGACATTACGATCAATATGACAAGAATTCTGGATATTAAACTTCAGGTTATGTTGGTCTTTGAAAAAAGGTTGTAAAGATTAATGATTTGTTTTTCCTTTTTTCCTCAATCAAGATATCTCCTGATTCGTGTGCTGACATTAAGTGGTGAATGTGGTTGTTCAAGTATTAATGTATCGTAGATGTTTATAACTCAACACCAATGGTGCTAACTTAATCTGATAGACTTAAAACTCTCAAACTGCCATCTGCCAAATGTCTTTGCAAATCCTGTGATAAATATGTTTCAGTGTCACAGGGACACATTCATACTATGAATATGGATTTCTACAGTCAACAATACACCGACAGAAACGGCTCACAGTCATGTGAGTTCATTCCAGAGGTGAACTAGTATAAACATTTTGTACAGACTGTCTACTTTGCTCTCAATTCGCTCAGGGATGATGTGTGGATCTACTTTTAACATGCAGAGCATGAGAGAGAGAAATTTTGATGTTGTCATTTTCTTACCTTTAGCTTGACGGACCGTTGCAGTTGTTGTGTGTGAAAAAGAAAAAAAGGAATCAAAATAGGTGGGATCACACTGTATGTAAGTTTTGTTGTTCATTAACATGATATGCATTTACAGCCCTATGGTGTAGTTTTTTCTGTTCAGAATATTCAATCACGCACTATATCAAGAAATCAGGGTCGGTCACAGCCCAGGCGGAGCACCGAGAAGATGCTCAGACATGGTTGCTCTCATTAACCTTAGTTCTTATAATAATGATTAATGTCCAAGTGTCTATTTTTCACTTAAGTTTGGTTTCCATAATTATTTGTTGATGCTGTTTTTAAAAAAATATCAAAAGCTTTGTTGACAAATGTGAGCTGCTGCTGTGTTTGGTATCGGACCACAAGAGAAAACATACAAAACTAGAAAAGCACTCGGAGAGCGCAGACCTCCGCCAAGCAGCTCATGTCCCCCCTTATATTGTGATTCACACCAAAACTTTTAGTGTTACGTGTCTTTTATTAACTTTTATTTGTGTTTAAACTGGTATGTTCACTGTTCATAATGTTCCTAAAACAAGAAATGCCCTGACCCGGTTTGAACCCAGGATTTTCTTACTGTGAGGCGACAGTGCTAACCACTACACCACTGTGCCGCCCATTGGTTATCTTTCAGCATTGAAAATTCCAACGACACCCTTATTTTTGTGTGTTCTGGTTCACAGTATCCAGAATTTTGTCTGGATCAGGATCAACCTTTGACACCTCATAAAACTCATTGAGATCCTTTTGTGTAATTTTTTTACTAAAGACTCTGGACATTTTTATAGAGTTAAATGCAAAAATTCCAAAATTTGCCCTATCTCACAATGATAAAGAATCCTTCAAAAAATTCCTGGATCCAGAAGGCGATCCGGATCACCACCAAAATGTAATGGGATCGTCCTGGGGCTGAGATACACCTCTGGTGAAAATTTCAGGTCAATTCGTCTGTAACTTTCTCCGTAAAGTTGCTAACAGACAAACAAACAAACAAACAAACCAACACTACCGAAAACATAACCTCCTTGGCGGAGGTAACAAAACTCCAGTGTCCCACCAGTGAGTTAAAAGCTTGTTTTAGTTAGCATGAAAGAAGTGATCTAAGTCCAGCAGCCCTACCATCCTGGTAACTTCTGTGTACACCTTAGCAGTACTAACGCAGTATATCAGCCACTCATGGCAGATTTTCAGCTTCACATATTGCAGTGGGTGGAAATAAAGGTACTTGGTCCATTTCAGATGCAGTCTATGAGTCTAAAACTAACTAAAACAGAATTGTCCAGCTGTGTCTGTTATTGTTTTTTTAAGTATGTATAATGCAAGGGTGATAGGCTGTTTGAGCTGCACTACAGGACGGCATGGCAGCCAATTGGGCGACCACATGGTGTTAAAGGAAATCCATGTTAGCCAACTTAATGCTTGGCTGAACTAACAGGCTCTCAAATGTCCATCCAGACTTCAGAAAGCTTGTCTTCTTGTCTGGGGCAAAGTGGGTGTTGTTTGTGTGCAGAGGGCCAGTAGACATTCAGATTACTCATTCTCGGCGTAGTTCACACTTCACTGGGGTTCATGTCAGCTTCATGGTTTGTTTCTCTTGAATATTTTTAGCAGCAGTTTGAATTGGTTTAATGGGTGCTGGTTTGTGAGTATGTCTCACGCTGGCTTAACATTTAGTGCTTTGAGAGGGCTAGTAGAGTTTCCATGCAAGTTACAGAGTTGAAAAATAGGAAGCCTTAAATTAGAATGGATTTAATTTAATTCTGTACATAGGTGATGAAACTTTATCTGGAACTTATCATGTGACTTGGTTTTCTATTTTAGTATTAAATTCGAGCCGCCCCTGTCGCACCTCTCCTCTGTCCATCAGCTAAGCTGTTAAGCCCTGGGAATCTGAACGTCATGGACCCTCACTGGTATTTTCATCTACAATGAGGCGGTCACAGAGCTTGCCAGCCTGATGGTTTGCATCAGTCCTTTGATAAAATAACACTCTCGGTTCTCAGATTCTATCTTAAAGCTATAGTGCGTAAAATCTACACATCTGTAAATATCCATTTCACCCAAGCAACTACAAGAGGAGATGATACAACCCTGATTAAGCCGTTCAGCTTTTTAACAACTTTCTGTATTTTTCAGTATTTGTTCTTTTTGTATTTGGTGTCGAGGGGCAACATTTCCGCACTGACACACAGGAAATGACGCCTGATACTCAGTTTTACCTTTTAACGAGAAGGGAGGGGGAGGAGAGCGCTGCAAGTAGCAAGATGGCGGAAAACCTGGAGAAGCGACTAAGAGGTTCAGAAGTGGATCCTACTAAAAAGAAAAAGCCTTCCCTTTTGGGGGAAAGTCTGTTGGCAAAGAAAGAGAGTAACAAACGGAGAAGACTAATGTGGATTTACAACAGTGTCACTTTTCCTTGAAGGAGGAGATTGGACTGAGGTCCGACACCGATGTTGCCTGGATACTGCTGGATAAGTAAGTGACTGTTCATTACAAGCAGGATGTGTTGCTGTTACATGGACAGAGTATTTTACTATTTTCTTGGAAATGGTGCTATGAATGTAATGTATTGTTAGCAGCCTGGTGTTTGCCACATTTTATGACGTTAGCCTAACGTTACACAACGTACGCAGTAAGTTAAAGGTGTTTCCCTGTGTACACATTTTGTAGTTTTTTTTACTGTGTGTGATGCGCATACGTCATATTGAGAAGCCGGCCATATCATTGTAGTAACACAGAAATCCTCTAGGGGGAAATAGAAGTTACGCACTGTAGCTTTAATAATCTGGTATGCTGGTGTGACCATACCATTACAGAAATGCTTCAGCAGTTTTTACCCTGACACTGATATGCATGCCAAAATAAAAAAAGGGGAAGGACATAATGGTTGTTAAAAAAAAAAAAAAAACAATAGAAACTTCAATTTAACTTGCATATGCATTCTGTATGGCAATGATACAAATGAGGCAGTTTGATGCTGCACCTCATAGTCACATCTCCCTCCACTTACCGTATTGAAATGATAACTCAAATAAGAAAATCAAAATAAATCCAGAGCAGTGAAGTCTATTTTTTGTACCACAGCAGGCAGGACCTTTTGTGTCCCTGTCTATTGTTTGGTACAAATGTGAAATTAAATGTCAAACAGCTCTCACACTGTAATTATAACAACAGTATGGCTGTAGGGCACCTGAATGAGTAAATTGGAAATCAGCTTATAGTATTAAATTCCTTTTTTATTTCGGGTTAATGTAATGCTTTTGTGGAAGTACATTTTTTCAGTGTTTAAGTTTTACCACTGTGTCACATAATTTCAAACAGGCTTCTGTATTTAAAAACTGAAAGGATAGAGTCAATCGAGATCCCATCATCTTCACAGCCAGTCTCCTTTTTTCTCGAGTCCTTTCTGAACATTTAAAATGGCTGAGTTTTTTTCTCAGCAGGGGGGGCCTAGGTCCTGTTGATAGACTGTCAACCAAGAAACCACAGGCCTCCAGTGCTAAGACTAGATAAAGCCAGCAGCACTTGTTAAAAGTAGGGCTGTGAATGATTGAAAACAATATAATGAGACCTACAAAGGTCTGAAAAAGGCTCTGTGTTTTATGCATACATTTATTTTTGTCTAATTAGATGATTTAAATGTAGGAAAGAAATCACATCATGGTTAAATTGAAAATAAAAAACAATCATTCAGAACAGAGAAGGTCTAAAAATCCAAATCTTTTCCTTTTTTTTTCACTCATTAATGAACCATCACTCTGCACCACATGGAGAGGGTACACACCAGTGGCAGTGTTTACCACCACATGTGAAAGCATGACAAACGATTCCTAGTGACGCTATGAGAATTAATCTTAGATAACAGCAGGAAACAGTCACAAAAGTTGATGCTAACCTCAGTCATTTGCTGTATTCAAAAAAGCCTACTTCATACTCCAGGAAGAACATCATACCCCAGTCCATCGCAAACAACGCTACAGTGTTGTCAATCTATTTACGCACTGAAAAAGTGCATTTTGAGTGTTTCATTTGAAATTTTGGGAGTTTTATCGCCCAGTATTGACC